TGTTCCCTTGCATTTTCACACCTCCATAGTGAATTCCAATTAGCTTATTCTACAAAGTCATCTATCATCATTCAGCATGCAACAAAAATAAGAATAAATCATAATATTATTCTCAAATAGTGCAAAATTTTTAAAAGTGTTTGTCATAATTTTTCAATCTTAACAATGCAATGAAAGAGATCCTAAAATAAATAAGAGTTGTCTAAAATTCATCAAACCAAATTTTTGCCATTGTTAGAATCATATCAAATCTTTAATCCTATAAATTGAAATGAAAAAATGTGAATAACTAAACTCAAACATTAAAGCGTCAAAACAAATCAAATTTAATATAAATAATTCAAAACTTTAAAACCTTGTAAAAAAATGCATCAAAACAAATTATTGTTGCTGTCAAAATTACATTATATCTTTAATTCCCGATAATTTCATTATTGTCATCTATAAATAAAATTTTAAATATTGTCATCTTCAATATCATCACTGTCTTCATCATCATCATTTTAATTGAGATGATGAAGATAAGTGAGAAGAAGATGCAACAAACCCTAAGTGTTACATTAAGCATGCTACTTTTCTTAGTTTCAGTCAACTCTTTTTTCATTTCTAACTTATCCTTTCTTTTTGTCTTTATAAATCTTATCTTATTCTTGTTTTTCTTGTTCTTGACTATGTAATGATTCATTTAAGGCTTGAATTTGTCTCCTTCAAAAGAATCAATTCAAAATTTGGCTGCTTAGTTGAATATATGATTAACATTTTTCCTAGAGATCCAAAATCAAATATTCTTCCCTTATTTTTCCCAATTGATTTGATTCATATATCCAAATCTGATGACATTTAGTTCATGGATTGTTCACCATCAATTGCATCATCCCCAAAACTATGAGATAATAGCTCATTTTTCTTTTGTTCAAATTTCTCCTACAAATGAAAAAGTACTTAGTGAAAATATATAAGCAACAAAAGTAAATGAAAAAGGTTCAATCTTTTAATATGTTGATTTCTTTATTTTTAAAAATGATAAGAAAATCTTGAAAAAAAAAGACATTTCAAAAAGGATTTATAATGTATTTCCTTTAAGGAAAATTTTGCACACAGAATATTTAGATGTGATAAAAATATATGCATATGAGGTCTATTTAAACATCTTTCAACTATGTAGATTACAGAGTCTTGTCATTTTAGTTATGAGTTATGTGGGAGCGCTTAGAGTCACCCTAAAGACAGAAAATGACTTCATCGACAAAGAGAAATTGAAGTCATGCGTACAAAATGCATTTCAGATGATACTCAAAGCAGCTACAACAAATTCCTGACAAAGAAAACATTAATGTGCTCCTCACATAGAAGTTAAAATTCTTATATTTGTTTTTGGGAATTCAAATGTCTTATTTTTTTTTTAACTCGCCCTAATACTTTATTATAACTTAACCTTTACCTACTCAAAACATCAAAATTGCTACCACTGTTGTTCCTTATTCATTAGCCCTAATTATACCTACAATCACTTCGAGAAGGGCATGAACAATAGTCTAGTCTGCATGTAGGGCCTAGTTATGTCCCCACTTAATTATACATGTATTTTGCATCACATATTGTTGCCTTTGCATGTCATTATTTGGTGGATTATTATAGTAAGATAACATTAAATAAACATTTTGTACATTGGAACCTTTTATTGGAAACTTCAAAGGAGTTGTCATTGTGCAACATTTATTGCATTCTATTCCTTCTGCACAATTTTAAAGGCTTGTAAGGACGATCATGTTGTCTTAATTTATTTTGGTTTACATGACTTATACTCTGTGGTAAGCTCCTGTACATTTCTACCACTCTAGCTCAATAAAATTTAGATAATAGTGTTATTTTAGTTTATTCAACCAAATTTAAATTATCAAAGGGTTATTTTGAAAACTACTACAATTCAACATATCTACTTCAATAATTTCACACTCATATTATATATGTTTCTTCTTTATCGTTGTTTTTAAACCAACAGTTCAATATCACAATATAAAACAACTCAAACATAAAACAATATTGACATAAAATCAAACATAAAGTATATTTCATTCTATTCGTCACAATTAAAACATCAAAATTAAGCATAATTAATTAAAGTTTTAAGAAAGGACCAAAGTTTCATCACAATGATTGGGAAACACATTTGCATTGACAAGAGTGTGAGATTTGAGTTCAAAATTTACTTTAATTGCAACGTCAAGAGTCTCTCAATCACTCTTCTTCCAAAATTATTAAGCAAGTACAACGAAGATAAATGTTAGATCTAGCAAAGCAGTGTAGGTTTTCACTGAATTTGTTATGGGAGAGCATCTTCAAGAGTTTCTCTCTATGGAGAAAAGAATGAGAAGAAGGAAATAAGATCCTAAATTTTTTTAAAATATTTTAAGATTGTAGGTACTTCTACCTATTTTCTGGTTTGCTACTCACCGCAGAGAAAAATAATTTTTTTTTAAAATAAAGCATTGGTGGTGTCTTCCCATGTGGGTTTTGGTTGCATACATGGGTTGAATTTTTTTTTCAAAACTAGGAGAAAATATACTATTAACTTTTTATTGTATGTTTTGTATTTTGTTAAAAATATTTTATTAGATAAATTGTTTTAATTATTTAAACATAATAAATTTAAATAATTTATTTTATTTTCCTACAAAATATAATTTGTAAAAAATCATTAAAATTATTTTTTTAAAAATTTTCTATCATTTATTTTAATATTATCAAACATTTCCTGCAAATTTTTATTCATGAAAAATTTTCCATAAATAAATGCAAATTTTTACTAATTTTCTTGCAAATTTTTATTTGTCTTTTGTATATTTGCAATAAATTTTGTAGAAATTTTTATAAATAATTGTTTGCGAAAAGAATTCTAACTATTTCTTATAAATGTATTTTTGCAGAAAAATTGACAGTTATTTTTTGAATAATTTTTTATTAAAAAAATTATAAATATTTTTTTTGAATAAGTTTTTGAAATAAAAATCACAATAAATAAATAAATTTCTAATAGTGGGTGTACATAAGTTTTATTAAAGTATTATGCCATTATTAGGGTTTTATAAAATAATTTACAATAAAAAAAATTCAAAAATAAGATACAAGATAACCAGATAAAATAATATAATATTACCTTTAATCTAATACTTAAAGATATTGAGTTTATAAATATTTTATTTATATATTATTCAACTTTTTTTATTTTTATTCAATGTTAAATATAATTCATTTTTTCCATTATAAATAGAATTATTTCTTCTATGTTTTTTTTAACGTTTACAAATTCATTTTTTTCTATAAAAAAAAGTACAAAATTTACATGATTAAAGAGTAAACCATTACATTATAGATTATGGTTGGTTAGTTTGATGGTACGGTTGTTGCTTCAGCACGATATCGTGAAAAGGCTAGTGATTCTTTTCAAAAACTTAGTAATACAAAGACCGAAATCATTGCCTATGTTATTTAGGGTATAAACTATAAACCATAAAGCTGCGAAACAGTACAGAAACATATTACAAATAGTACTTTAAGCATATAAAATTATCATCACCTAAACTGTTGCTCTAATTGCAGCAATAGAGTTAGCGTTCCAATACTTAAATTGGACTATGCTTTTGAGTAGATATAATGTGAGCCGTGTTGCCTTATATATATTTTGATATCGCTGTTCTATTGTCTTAACAAACAGGCTATGTCAGCTTATGGGTATGAAATTGTTCTCATAGTGCTTCTCGAGTCAGATGATGTAAAGTGGGATATGAATGAAGTATCAACTTATTTTGTATTCAAATGATTATTTATGTACCACATTCTCTGGTCTTTGCGTACTTCTGTTTTTGTTTTCTTTTCCTGCCTAGTACTTATGGATTGACATATTTTAATGTTTTCTTCTGTGATATAAGGACTAGCCCTGGCACAATGGTAAAGTTGCATCTTCATGACTGGTTTTGGTCATGGATTTGAATCGAAAACAACATGTTTGCATATTTTAGAATATATGACTCTGAACAATTACCCCCACATCCTTGACATGGTCCTTGTCACTCAGTATTTAGACACTTAGAAAGAAATCGGTACTTCCTCCATGTCTTCTGCTGTTTTCAATACATTTGGACCTAGTTCTATTAATGATTATAGCTACCCATATTCGTAATGGAATTTTTCAGGGTTATAATCAGTATTTTCTACTCCACCTAGCTCTTTTATATAAGCTAGTGAGTATGATAATGCTGCTATTTATATGAATATGTGTGATTGTCTTTCAGAGTATAGTGTGTTCAGTGGCTTTGTTTAATTAGGCAATCAACTTGCCACTGTGAATAAGTATCTAAATGTGAGTGATACAGAAATAAGTTCTAATTATCATTGCAAATGCAAGATTTTTAGCAGGAAATTAAATTTTGACCTTTCAAACAACATGAGAGTTCTTCATGCTGATTATTACATGCAGTGTTGTTTCACTATTTTCCCTGCAGGGGAATAGGATGGTTCGGATGCTTCACATATAAATGGTTATTGTTTACAAAGTAAACATAAATCTTCTTCTCTCTATGAACAATGAGTTCTCCAAAACTAAATAAAGCATGGAAATGTATGTTGCTACTACCACTTAATCTTATCTTGACTAGCAAAAGGAGAAATTAATTCGTGCAAAATATATTCTGTTTAACAGCGAGTTGCCTACATGAGAAACAGAAGTCAATTTGAACTTTCATTGGTACAAATCTTTGAATTGATAGATTTTTAAATATTTCTAGCACTAAATATTCATAAACTGTGTCTGTGTATGCCTTCTTTTAAGGTCCTCGAAAAACATTGCTCACAAAACACTAACCAAGGATATGATACAGTTCTCTAATGTTGCACAAAATGGATGGGGCAAAACAAAATTTCCATGCAGTTTGCAACATCTTTTGGAAGTCTTCATGACATCTCATTGTCTGTTTCTACATTAAGAGCTTTTCTAGTTGAGATTATTTCATAGACATGGAGACTCCAACCTTAGGAAACTTTTCTTTATCTTTCTCATTCAAATTGACCTCTCCTGCCACTGTTATGGAAAATTTCCTTCCAAAATTCTGTTGAATAAGAGCGCCTACCCTGCCATTATTGTTTAGTCGAGCCTTTAGCAATGTCCAAGGAAATAATGCATGTTGAGCACCAACCGTTACACCAGTAGTCTCATCATCTGCAAGGTCATACTTCACCTCTGCTGCTATTGCAGTCTTGGTCAGGGGGTTCACTTCAAAATAACAGCAACCTTTCAAAGTTTGAAAATAGTCATGCCTGCATAATTAACACACGTTAGACTTCAACATGCACGGTCATTTGGTCTGAAGAAATAAACATACGAATACTGAGCACAAACCATTAACCATGCTTTAACTTAGATGAGGACCTGCACATTGCAGAACTATCTTAAAATCCTTCTATCAATAACTTTTCGTACTTCCTATTATTAATATGTTGGACAGATTCCAAATTTATTTGTTTTGGAGATGATGGAATACCAAGTTTGTGGTGCTTATCTTAATCAATGTGGTGCATACATGCACCTAAACTAAAGATGGGAAGTGTTGTTCTTTATTCACCTTGCCAAATACTAAGTTTGCTACCTGAAGTATTGAAGTTTAAGCTAACAGGACAGTTTAAGGTGATAATACCAAACCTATACTTTAACTTTTATAATTTCAAATAGATTCTTGAGCTGGAGTACTGATCACAAATTTGATGTTACTGTACATTTCTGATAAATTTTAGTCTCAATTGTAGGATAGCTCACAAGGTCACGGAAGCAACAAGGTAGGGACTGTTCAGGCTCAACCCAGCATTCAGATTGTTAGTTGTCCTTGTTGCTGATATGTCATAGGCAAGATTAGCTCCCAGGGTGAGAATTCTGGTTCCAATAAGACCAGAGAGGTTTGCTACAGGGCTATATCCTTTTTCAGCGTCTCCCAGTAATCCAATGCTTGCACTGAACCCACTGAATCTACTCAAGTGTTGAAGTTCCACCTGTAATCGACATCGTTTTGATCCCAAAAAATAGATAGATGCAATGAAAATCAAGACTCAATTATTGAAGATGAAAACATTTATTGTACGTAGACTATTAATCTATAGTTGTACCTTCCCAGAGTCTGGTATGTTACATGAGAAAAGGCCCTTTAGTCCATGCACAAGTTCTTCTACTCCAACAGATACACAATCAAAGGAAGTATAGTCAGAGATGAAATTCCATAGCTTTTTCAGGGTTGAGATATTAACATTTACGTTATGATGTAAATGTACATCTTAAGGACTAACTGGTTCCTTCGATTTCTATGCTTAAAGAAAAGCAAAAAGGAGAGAAGAGGGTTTGAGCTGATATATTATTACCTTCACAGGAGAGATCTAGATTCCACTTCATGAATCTGTAGTTGAAGTGAATTGGTGGTTGTTGACAATAGTCCTCGTGAAGAACATCTAACAAACAATAAAGGTAAACAAAGAATTTTTAAGGACCATCAGTGCAGAGTCCATGTTGATGAAAGATTAAAATGAAATAAAAAATAAAGAAATAGAATAAAAGAAATTCGTTAAACCTCTAGCCTTCTTTCCAATATCAAAATATAAGCCAGGACCCTGGTTCATTTTGCCACCAACAATGATTACAAGTCAATTATAGTGATGGTTTATTGGGAAGAAAAGAGTACGCTTGGGTTATGCACATTGTGCGATGTTTCCTCGTGTGGAAAAGGACAATGATTTGAACACCATAAAGCGAAATTTCCATCAATCAATTGTAACAATCGTTTAGAACTCAAAACATGAAAACATGAGACATGGTGGAGATGATGACGAATAGAGAATGAGTAAAACTTAAGCTAGCAACATGGGTTATTATAGTTATTGGCTAAGAGACCGAAACAACTTGAGGGTTTAAATCTAGTCATGTAAAAAATCATCATTGCTTCACTCTTAAGCCGACATCAGTTGTAATAGATTTGGTACATTTTTGGAAGCATTTAACCAAAAATCATAATTCTTTCTCCAACATGGAATTATTGTTATTAATCATTTTGGATTCAGGTTTTAAGGTAAAGATGTGGCAATTTTTTTAAGGTCCGAAATATCATTATAGAAGCAACTTGTCAATATTTCATGACATTTTTTCATGTCTTTTTCTTGGACTAGTATTCTAATTAGAATTTGTCTTAGATATATAAGATTTCACTTTGCAGAAAAAATAGTATAAGAGATATTGGATTTCAGTCATGATGATGAAAACAAATATTAATATTTGTTTATCTAACAAAAATTTCATTAAAAAAAAGATAAAAAATGTAATAAATACAAAAAATAATGTAATAAAAAATAGCTAAGAGATAGAAATAAAATGAGATAAAAATCAAACAAAAAATAATGTTATAGAAAACAGTGGTTTGATAGAGTAATCTTTTGTCTGATTCTATTGTAGTGTAAAATGGGTATCAAATTAGTTTTTTTTTTTTTTTTAAATTCTACATATAAGCGTGGTATTATTAATAATTATTGATATATATTATTAAAATTTAAAATTAAGTATGATAAACATTTTTTTTAGTATTTTAAATGTTAAGACCATGTAAGATTTCTGTTTTATTTTAGTTTTTAGAAATCATAAAATTATGATATTATATTTTTTAATTATTTTGTGTATTGTAGTTATAAAAATATTTTTATTAATACAAGGTTAATATCAGTTTGACTTTTAAATCTTGGACGAAATCTTAGACCAGTGAGAGTCTATATTAATTCATTGAACAATCTAATTTTAAAAATATTGATTGTCGCTATCTCCGTTCCGATATCTAGGGACATCTCGAATGTTTATGCGAGCGGTCGCGAAAAGATGGTTTAGACTCGCGTTTATTTAAAAATGTGATCATTGCTCCCGAGTTGCTCAACAACTGAACTATTCTCTAATAAAAGCAAGGTTTTCGCAAAAAGGTTCTTATGGAGTCACCACCAATGTTTTGACCATAAACATTGGAAAAGGATAAAAAGACGTTGATTTTAAGAAAAACCAAACTTGGCCATTATAACCAGAGTTAGGTAAGAGAATTAGTTACTCATGGAGAAGGTGTTAGCACCTCCACGACGCCCCTTTCGGGTTCCCTATGACGGATTAATTCATAAAGTAAAGATTAAGAGAAATTACGCTATTACCCTATTTTATTATACAATATTAAAAAATGGCTATCTACATGATTCTATTTTCTATTGCATACATAAAGTAGTAAATAAAGCAATGAAAGAGAAGAGAAGTGAAAAGAACCTCTGTAGCAAACTTTAATTACAAATCTTCAACTATGAGGATGCGTTTTGGCAATCCCCGCACTACACAGACTCTCCTCCCGAATACGGGACCGAAACTACAAAAACTTTAAGAAGAATCGAATGCCGGAAGAAACTTCCTTAACCGATTGTTACCATATAGGCAATAGGAGAGATCATTCGAAAGAGGGAGAGAAGAGAGGAGTGAGGTGTGTGAAAAAACGTCACCTAAGGTCCCTATTTATAGTTTTTTCAGCCAGCAAACTCGGGACAGCCGTCTCAGACCAAGAAAATAGGGACAACAGTTCAAAATGCTTGGGACGGCCGTCTGGAAGTTGGGACGACCGTCTCAAGTTGTTTTTTGGGTTGAGACGCGTGTCTCACATCTTGGACGTGCGTCTCGCCTGTTTGGGACGACTGCCTCGCTTTCTGAGACGACTGTCTCGAGTGTTCTGGTCAAATTTTGTGTTCTGGGACTCCAGGAAAGCTTTCCTTTCTTCAGACGGAAGCCGGTTGATGCTGATGGACGTCCACCGAGGCTTTACCCACCTTTAGATAGAAAATCTTCTGGTCTTTATTGAGAGGTCGAGCAAAATTAGGGGTCTACAGCTGACCCCGCCCCCTTCACCTGCCTAACTAACTGTTGGCCTAGTGTGCCCACAAGATTAGTTGGTAGGTGAAAGAATTAACCCTTTTGCCCGGTCATCCTTCGGATGCTCCTTTGCTTGAAGTTATTGATCATCTAGATGATGAATGCAGTCTGATGTTGTCTTCAGGATGCTTCCTTGCTGGGGAGGCTGATCCCTCGGACAATATATGTGAAGCTTCAGGATGCTCCTTTGATACGGTAGTTGACCCTTCGGCTAGTGAATGAAGATTTTCCCTAAGGATGCTCCTTTGATGCGGTAGCTGACCCCGTAGCTGACGAGTGTGAAGCCTCAGGATGCTCCTTTAGTGAGGTAGCCGATCCTTTGATTTGCAGGATGCTCCTTCAGTGAAGTAGCTGATCCTTCGATTTGTAGGATGCTCCTTCGGTGAGGTAGCCGATCCTTCGATTTGCAGGATGCTCCTTCGGTGAGGTAGCCGATCCTTCGATTTGTAGGATGCTCCTTTGGAGAGGTAGCCGATCCTTTGGCTGATAAATACTTTTGATAGGTACCAACCCCTATCTAGTTTGATGAGAATGAACCCCCATCTGGTCCAAACCTCTTTCTATAAGGCTCTAGTGAGTACAAACCCCCACCAGGTTCGAGTTCGCATTTGCTAAACTCTTGTGAGTATTTACCCTCACCAGATACAAGCTCGCATTTGCTAAGCTCTTGTGGGTATCTACCCCCACTAGGTACGAATCCGCATTTGCTAGATTCTTGTGAGTATTTACACTCACCAGGTACGAATCCGCATTTGTTAAACTCTTGACGAGCCCCGTTCTGCAAGGCTCTTGTGGGTACCTACCCCCACCAGGTATGAATCCGCATTTGCTAAACTCTTGACGAGCCCCGTTTTGCAAGGCTCTTGTGGGTACCTACCCCCACCAGGTACAAATCCGCATTTGCTAGATTCTTGTGAGTACTTACCCTCACCAGGTATGAGCCCACGTTTGCTAAGCTCTTGTGGGTACCTACCCCCACCAAGTACGAGCCTGCATTTGCTAAGCTCTTGTGGGTACCTACCCCCACCAGGTACAAGTCCGCTTTTGCTAAACTCTTATGAGTACTTACCCTCACACGGTATGAATCCGCATTTGCTAGATTCTTGTGGGTACCTACCCCCACCAGGTACGAGTCCGCTTTTGCTAAACTCTTGTGAGTACTTACCCTCACACGGTACGAGTCCGCTTTTGCTAAACTCTTGTGAGTACTTACCCTCACACGGTACGAATCCGCATTTGCTAGATTCTTGTGGGTACTTTCCCCCACTAGGTTTGAGTCCGCGTTTGCTAAACTCTTTGTGAGTACTTACCCTCACGCGGTACGAGTCTGCGTTTGCTAAGCTCTTGTGGGTACTTACCCCTACCAGGTATGAATCCGCATTTGCTAGATTCTTGACGAGCCTCGTTCTGCAAGGCTTTCAGGATGCTCTTTTTGGTAGTCAATCTTGTGTTTGATGAGTACAAACCCTCATCCAGTTTTGGAGATGTGTTGGCGGCTTACTGTTTCTGATCATGCGCCCATTCCATGGGGAGTGATTGATTTTGTTTTTGACTTTTCTGTTTTAGTCATCCGGTCTTGCCGGGGATTCTTTGTTTTTGGTTTTTCTGTTTAATCATCCGGTTTTGCCAGGGATTCTTTGTTTTTGGCTTTTCTCTTTAGCCTTCCGATTTTGCCGGGGATTTTTTTGTTTTTGGCTTTTTCTGTTTAGCCATCCGGTCTTGCCGGGGATTTTTTGTTTTTGGCTTTTCTGTTTAGCCATCCGACATGTTGTTTGTCGGGGATTATTTGTTGGTTGCCTCTTATTTAGGCAGGAATCCACTGGGGATTTTTTATTTTTGTCTATTGTGCCTCTTAAGTAGGTGGATGCTTCAATAATGATGAAGACTTTATGTTTGGGCTTGTATTGCCTCTACATAGGTTGATTTCCCTTTCTTGGGGATATTGGCTCTTTGCTTTCCAGGTCTTGCCTATATATTTATAGGCAATTAACTTCTTGAGGATATGAATTTGTAATTTTGTCTTTGCTGATAGACTCACTGGGGATAGTTTTTTTTTTCTTTTTGATGATCCACTAGGGAATTGATTTTTTTCCCAGAGATCTATTTTGATTTGCCTCGTGGGGGGGGGAATGGAGTTTTTGAATCCTTGTTGGATGCTGTTAGTTTGAGCTGGCTTTGCTGATGCTCTTATTCCGCTGGGGAATGGGTTTTCTAATTATTTAATTTTCGCCTTTTTCTCACATTTTATCTCTTTTTTCTGCGATTTTGAAAATTGGCTTCTTTCTTTTGGATAATGCGTGCGCCTTTTTAATTTTTAATTTCTTTTATGCACGCAAGCTTTTTATTCTTTTTGAGTATCCGCTAGGGATGAAAGATTTTCTTCTTTTTCTTTTTTGGCGATCCACCAAGGAGTTCGTTGGCTTCCTGGGGATCGAACTTTGATTGATTTCTTGATGTTGGAGTCTTGGCTCCTGACTTTGTGAAGCTCTTATTGAACTGGAGGATGAGAATTTTCTTGTTTTCTTCTTTTTGTAGATTTTTCTGAGATGCTCCACTTGGGGATTTTATTCGGCCTTTTCTGTTGTGGCCTTGGGGATATGGAGATTTTGACTCCGTATTTTCTTTGTGTAACCCTTATTCTCCTTTGGGGAATGTGGCAGAGATTTTGGATGAATGTGCTCGA